CTAGGCAGATGCGCACAGGCTCGAGAAGGCCAAGAGTTGTGTGCAGCCCGCTACAACCGGTTCCCGAGCGGAGCGCTGTAGGAATGCGGGGCGAAGGGAGAAATGCATGGCTGGCTGGGGAACTCTGGGAGTTGAAGTCCACATATCTGAAAATGTGGGAAATGCTGAACATTGGAAAGAAAGGGGACACACAAAATAATTTAAAGGGTTTGGCAAGATTTACAATGTATGTTGACGTGTGGATTTTCCCTCGGGGGTCATTCCACTCGTCTGGGGAAAGTCCCAGATTTTAATTTGCAAGTGGCTGGTCTCTTCTTTCCCTTTCTCTACAAACAGCAAATTGTGTCCTGATGCACAACAGACAACCCAGCTTTCTGCAGCCCCAGAGCGTGGCACCTCCACGGGGAACAATGGGGGCCCTTTCCCCAATGCATCGAGTAATGCTGGCTTATGCCTTAACCCTGGGCCAACCTGGGCAAACCGCTCCAGACTGGACCAAACGTGGTTTTGTTTTGGGTCATTTATTAGTTAAGTTCCCATTGCATCTTTATTATTGTTCTAAGTAATTCAAGGTGGTGAATGTACCTAGATCTGTTTCCCCCTCCTATATTCCCCCAAACCAACCCTGTGAGGTGGGCTGGGGAGAGAGAAAGCTAGGAGAGAGAGAGAGAGAGAGGAGAGAGAGAGAAAGGGAGGGAGATGGAGAGAGAAGGAGAGAGAGAGAGAGGGAGAGAGAGAAAAGGAGGAAGAGAAAGAGAGAGAGAGATGGAGGGAGGGAGAGAAAGGGAGGGAGACAGGGAGAGAGAGGTGAGGAAGAGGAGAGAGATATGGAGAGAGAGAGAAAAGGAGGGAGAGACCCAAAGTCACCCAGCCGTCTTTCATGCCTAAGTGGGACTAGAACTCGTCGCCTCCTAGTAATTGGCCCAATGTCACCCATCTAACTTTCAAGTCTAAGGCAGGAACTGGAACTCGCCGTCTCCTGGTGATTGGCCCATAGTCCCCCCATCCGGCTTCCATGCCCAAGGTAGGGCTAGAACTCACCCTCTCCCGGTTGGTGCCTTAACTACTGGACCCCACTGCCCAATTTCAACCGGGTCCTTTCAAACAAAACCTTTTCTCAGAAGCGCTTGGGGCTTCCATTCCCCCAACCAAGGGGCCCTTACGACGGACCGGACAGCCGCTTGACCCGGATGGCGTACGGTCTGCCTGCCTGAGCAGGGGGTTGGACTGGATGGCCTCTTGGGCCCCTTCCAGCTCTCGGGATCCCACCTTCCAAACACCAACTTGCGTTGGGGAATCCAGGCGGAGGTTTTGCCCTCTTTCTCTTCGGGGGGGGGGGGGATGCCAACCCCCGAGCCCCCTTCAAGGGGGGATCCAACCCCACCCCAGCCATCTCACACAGACGCCGCCGGCCTTCACAAAATGGGGTTGTTGTTGTTTTTTTATTGTCCTTGGATGTTACAGGGAAAACCCTCCCCTCCACACACTCCTCCCTTTAGCTCATTCACGGGGAGGGAGGGGGCAGCGGCTGGATCTCAACCTGTTGCAAAGATCTGGGGGGTGAATGGGATTAAAAAAAGCAGCGGGTGGATTAACCAGCACCAAATGGGGCTGCCAGGATGAGGAGGATTATCCCAGACCCTGGAAGTTGGGAAAATGAGCAGCGCCAGGAAAAAAAAAAGGATGGCTTGGGAAGTGCGTGTGAACCAAAAAACACCCCCCCCTCCTTTTTTTTCTTCTTCTCCTGGGCAGGTGCTTAAAATCCGGGGAGAAATACCTTTTTTCAGAGCTGACCACACGGCCTTCGTGGCGTCGAGGACAAATGGTTTTTCCAGCGTCGGGAGCATCCTGGGTGGCTTTTCGGAAGGGGAAGGGCCCGCGATTCAGAAACCCGGGGTCTTTCCCCCCGAAGAGCCCATCCGCCAAGGTCTTACTGTCCTCGCGGGTCCAGCCAGCCCCGACGGGGGGGGGGGATCGAGGGGTTGGGCGTCTTAAACGGCCTGGTTCCTGCCGGGTGGGGAGCGGCTGATCTTGAAGATCCCGGTTGGATCGAGAGGAGGAGGCTTAAGCAGGAATCCCGTCGGGTCAGCGACGCCTGGCGTGGGTCGCACCGCCCCGTCTCTTAATTTTTTTCCCCGCCTCTTCTTTTTCACTTTTTTTTTTAAAAAAACACAGCTTGGTTAGAAGAAGAGACAAGATCGGCCGAGGTTCACACGCTGGAGATGGCGAAGAGCCCGAAAGATACGGAGGTCAAAGGGTGCCGGAAGTGTTGGGATGGTTGAGTGTTTAAAACTGACCTTGCCTCTTTGGCAAGGGGGTTGGGGGGAGGTTGATCCTGGATCCTCCTGCCCCACAGCGTGCCCGGGTGATGGAGGAGGAGGAGGAGGAGGAGGAAGCACCCTGGGCACCTGTAAAATAAGTGGGCTGTGGCTCCTTCTCCATCCCAGGGACCCGGGTGCGAAAGCCACATTATTTTTTTCCCCCTCCAAAGGGTTTGAAGCTCTTTCGAATCCAGGAAAGGAACCGGGGGGGGGGGGGGGGCATTTCTACCCCCCCACACCTGTTGCTCTCTGCTGCTGCATTAGCTGTCCATATCGATCCGGTGGGCTGTTGGCGGAGCAAGCCAGGGAAAGAGGAGAAAAATAAAAGAGAAATTAAAATAGGCTGGACAGTTATGGGGAGAAGGAGCACGTGGGGGGCGCTTGATCAACCTTCTTCTGTCTCACTAGGCCTCGTCCCTCCCCCCAAAAGGAGAAAAATGACACCCACCCAAATAGGGAGGCCTCCTCTCTTAAGGAGGCTTCTCCGTGGTGGCTCCCAGACAGCTTTCATGCCTAAGGCGGGACTAGAACTCAAGGCCAAACTAGCTTTTGACTTTGTAAAAGTCACTCTGAGTCACCATGAGTTTGCCTGCCAGAGACATTTTCTTAATAAAGTTTGATTTGAGAATTGATTTGATCACATTTGAGAAATAAAACGTTCATGAACTCCAACCCCTGCTCGGATCTCGGTTTCACCCTTCCAGTGTAAATCTAAGACTGAATCTGAACACAACCACTAACCACAAAGAAGGGATCACTGACTGTGTTTTAATGTTTTTTTAAAAATACTTTTATGTTGTAAAGCCATCCAGAGTCATTTGACACCGGATGGATAGCAGATAAATTCCATAATAATAAAAATAATTATTAGTTTGGGCTGTCGTTTGCTCCTAAAAACTCCGCTGAGATCTCAAAAAAAGAGAGGCCTTAATAGAATCAGCAGCCCTGGGTAACAAATACAAGAGAATTAAGTCTCAAAGGAGGCAATGTCCCATGGAAAAGGACAAAAACCTTTTACATAGCTTTTACATTCATATGCTGATGGGGTTTGCAGAAATCACCTCTGACCAGGAATGCAACTTAAGGAAACTTCAGGAAAAGCCAAACAATGCAAGATTGAGCAATCAAAAAGGGCTATGGGAAAAATTTGATGGTAGATAAGAGTCTCTTTGCAGAGTGAGATTGGTGGCCTATCAATAAATTTATAAATAACAAAAGGCTAGTTGAATTTAAGTTGGGGAAGCAATTTTACGAGCCCAGCTAATGTGGTTTTGGAAGAAAATATTGGATTGAATAGCAATAGCACTTATATACCGCTTCACAGTGCCTTACAGCCCACTCAAAGCGGTTTACAGAGCCCCCAACAATCTGGGTCCTCGGTTTACTGACCTCGGAAGGAAGGACGGAAGGCTGACCCAACCTTCCAACTAATTTAAAGGATTTCTTGGACTCACACTGCTTTGGTATCCGAAGGGCCTCGTTGTCCGCCGACATCACTTGGTGCAGAACGCCGCGGAACTGGTAGAGCACTTTCAAGTTCTTGTCTTCGCCAATGCAGGGGTCGTAGAACCCGGGCAGGCCAGCCTGCGGGGAGTAAAAACCAGGGTTCTTGGAACAGGCTCCGTCATGGGAGAACAGAGCTCCTGAGCTCGCGCAGAGCGGCAACCCAGAACAGAACAGGAATAACAGAGTTGGGAGGGACCTTGGAGGTCTTCTAGCTGAGCCCCCTGCCTAGGCCACTTCAGACAAAGGCTTATCCAATCTCTTCTTAAAAACTTCCAGCATGGACAACTTCTGGAGTCAAGTTGTTCCACTGATTGATTGTTTCAATTGTCAGGAAGCCTCTCCTTGGTTCGAGGTTGCTTCTCTCCTTGATTAGTTTCCATCCGTTGCTTCTCGTCCTGCCTTCAGGTGATTTGGAGAATAGCTTGACTCCCTCTTCTTTGGGGGCAGCCCCTGAGATACTGGCAGGCTGCCATTACGTCTCCCCTGGTCCTCCTTTTCATCAAACTGGACCTATCCAGTTCCAGCACCTGTTCTTTATATGTTTTAGCCTCCAGCCCCCTAATCCTCTTTGAATCCTGAGACGAAAAGAGCCAGGAACACACACGCCTGTCTCCTTCCCTCCCTCCTGGCACCATCCTTACCTTGGAAGCTTCGGTGAGGATGAGTTTTGAATCCTTGACCAGGCACTGTAAGGGCACCGTCACGTCGATGACCTTGGCTTTCTCGTCCCGCCTGCTCTGGTCGTTGACGAACTTCCCGTACCAGGCGTTGACGATAATCAGACCTTTGGAGGAATGAGAAGGCCACGGGGGGTCAGATGGGGGGAGTTTTAGTCCAGCAGTCTAAACAAGCCCCCCCTTGTCCCCCCAAAGCAAGGAAACACACACACCCCCCCCAAAGGAAAAAGAGGGAAATCTGCCCCTCATCATTTGACAAGTGGGGAGGAAGGGAGGGCAAAAGAGACAAACCAGCTTTACGCACCCATTCTGGCTTCTTCGGCTTCAATGATTCTCCGGACGGACTCTTGCATTAACCGCACCTGCGTAGCAGCGGAGGAAGAGGCAGGATTAAGCGGGCAAATCTTGGGAGTTGCTCCGCCACAAGGTGACGGGTTTCAGGCTTCGGATTGGGATGTGATTATCATCAAGCCAGGATCGGGCCGGTTTGTGGCTTGATTGGCTTGGCAGGCTGCTGAGGGCCTCCAGGAGCCTGATATAGAAAGCCGGGCGTGCTTCTGCGACTCGCGAAAACTTAAGATACCTTCCTGGAAATCAGCGTTTCTCACTGTGGACTTCAACTCCCAGAATTCCCCAGCCAGCCAGGTCTTAAAAAGTCGCCCAGGTTGAGAAACACGGCGGCGAATATTCCTGGGTGGAATTCAAAGGAAGGCGGGGCACTTACGGCAGCTTCCGCTTCCTGCTTCTTCTGGAAGGTGTCGCTGGCGCAGCTCTCTCGCTGCTTCTCCAAGTCCCTAACGCCAGAAAAAAAGGGGGATGATGTGGGGTCCAGATTGGCTCCTCCCTCCCTCCCTCTCTGCCAAGACCCTGGAGGGGAAGCCTGCAGGACACGGGGACCCCTGGCAATGCGCCTCTCTCTCTCTCTCTCTCTCTCTCTATCTCTGTATCTCTCCATCCATCCATCCATCTTACCTACCTATCTACCTACCGGTATCTCTCTCTCCATCCATCTATCTCTCCATCTCTCTGTCTGTCCTATTTCTCTCTCTCTTCTATCATCTATCTATCTATCTATCTATCTATCTATCTATCTATCTATCTATCTATCTATCTATCTATCTATCTATCTATCTATCTATCTATCTTCATCATCATCATCTCTCTCCCTCTCTCTCTCTCTCATCTCTCCCTCCCTCCAAGCCATTCCTAGCCTGTCCAGCTACAAACGCCCACTGGGCCCTCAGCTCTGGCAGTCAGCTTCCACCCTAGCTGGGCCAGAGACCCCCCTTCCCACCTGCCCACAGCCCGGGGCCACTCACTTCTCCTTCTGTGCCCGCAGGTAGGGTTGGATGATCAGCCGGTCCATGGCGAAGTAGAAGACCAGCGGGCCGGCCGTGGCATAGAACACGGCGCTGGGCAGCAGTTGGTCGGTCAAGTGGATGGGAAAGAAATACGTCTGGCTGGCTCTGTTCAGCCTAGAAGGCAGGAGAAAGAAGAAAAAGAAGGAAAAAATATATTGGTATCTACAAATGATCATTTCTTTGGTTGCTGTAT